GATGAAACGATGAGATATATGACGACAGTGACATAGTTCAGCGAATTAACAGACAGCGGCTACGCTGGCTAGATCGTGTTGTCCGAATGTATGAAAACATTTCCACGTAGCGAAAAGAAGAAACGACTGGCGCGCTGTTGTTAACACAGCTATAATCGCGTAAGCTTTGTCGTAGATCTCCATTCCAAATACTTTGGCACATATTGATAATTTCCATGATGACTCGATAAGATAACTACGGGATTTTCATCCAATTCATCCATATTTTGCCAATAGCTACGTCCTCTAAAAAGTTCTGTTTTGAGTTTTTAAAGCTTAAAAGCGRTTTCTTCAATCATCAAATTAACAATTATTTATTTTTCAGAAAGATGTGAGTTTTAAAAACGCATTCGTTAATCTTTTGAAATTTGGCTTGTTTGTTTATTTATTCATTCATTACACATTATAATACTTTTTCAAAACCAACTGACCGAATCAGCTGTTCATATATCCTTCCATCTTTCGGTATAGAATCTCTGCATTTTGCGTCAAGACCAAATCGAGGAAGAGAAGATTTTTGTTTTCCTCATGAATTTTCTGTTTACATTCAGCATTTATTGTAAAGCAAAAAAACAAAATACACTCATTTGGCCTTTCAGTAAGGTTGAAGATGAGAACACTGAAGTGTTTTTTGGAAGTGTTGCCATTTTCTTTGTTCACATCTTCTGCTTATGAATAATTGAGCTCTGACATACGCCTAAGCCGAGGAGTATAAAACTCTTGGTAGACTATTTGTTGCGTGCGGCATTAGTATGTGAACATAATTAAAATAAAATATAGAAAGTGGTGATTTTTCTGCCATATTTATGGGATGGAGCTGATTATGTGTCAGGCTAGAGTTGACTCTTATTTAACTTTAATTTTAAAATCAGGGGACTACCTGTTTGAGCGTTGGTGTAAGTTTTAACTTGAATACAAACTAAGATATCTGGATGAAACTTGTTATTAGGGTTTCTTAGTACAAAAAAAAATTACTGCTGCACTGCCACGCCCACAAATCGCCATTAACCAAAATTTTATATAGTGACAACACTAAGCAAAATGTATGATGCAAGACTGTAATTTGGTACAGGAGATTGAGGTAGCACCGGGCACTTGTGAACAAGAAATTTTGAAAAATTGGGCATGGTCCCGCCCTCTGAAGCATATAATGCATACATATAACTACTAAAGCTACAATAACCATTTTTACACTAATAACTAAACACGCCAGACACAATAAATTTTATCATCGAGATGATATGAGAGGGCTTACTGGAAGCCGGTGTAAAAATTGGACAATGGGTATGGCACGTACCACTTTTTGGTGAAATCCCATATCTCGGAACATGACCGACCGATTTCGCCAAAATTTAGAACGTATTATTCTTCTCATATTCCTATATCACAGTACGTACGAAATTGGACAACAATCACGCTTACTTCCCATATAGCACAATTCTAAATTCCACTTGATTCTTTCACTTTCCAGTACACAAATCAATATGTAATTAATATAACGGAATAAAAGTTTGCAATAATAATTCCTTTAAATTATGTCAGCTTATGACAACAAATTTTTACAATTCCAAGCAAAATTGTTCAAGCCCTAGTTTCCGATTATGTGAACCTTAGTAAGAAAGTATGAAATTGAAATTCACACAAAAACCTTCCCGGATAATAGTATTTCTGTGTATCAACAATGAGTTGAATCGCATTACCTAATATAAAGGTTTTCGAACTTCCAGGTGACTTTATGCTGAATATATCGTCCACAATTTGAGTTACCTAAATGAAAATCGCAGAAATGTTTTACTCATAACAGTATATCGTTGTGCCTAAAATATTTAAACTTGGGCGAAACTTGATCCAGCCCCAAATAACTAGATTTGAATATGAAACGTTCGCTTGCACCCGAAGTAGCCTTTCCTTACAAATTACGAATTACAAATTTTTCGGTTAAATCAAATAACTCGACCGACTGACTTCTACTTTACTTATTATGTGGCCATCTTGTCATATTCCTATGTCACAGTGTATTTGAAAACTTAACAAAGATTTTCGTTAAATTTCTTTCTTGAGGTGGTTCTGGCGCACTCAATAAAGGTCTTCCAATTAGAAAATGCCCTGGATTAAGTATACTGTCGTTTTCGTAATCTTCTCCGGTTGTATAAAGTGGGCGTGAATTTAAAACTGCTTCAGTTTGTGTTAATAGTATAGTTAACTCTTCATACGTGAGAGTGTTATCTTCTATGATACGCTTAAGATGGTGTTTCATAGATTTAACACCTGCTTCCCAAATTCCTCCAAAATGAGGACTTGCCGGGGGAATAAAATGCCACTTAATACCTTCTTTTTTTTTTTATGCAACAACTCTGTTATTTCCAATAGCCAGTTTTAAACCTTTGTCCAAAGATTTTGCTGCTAAAACAAAAAAAAAACCATCTGAATATATATTGGTACTTTTTCCTCTTCTTGAAAAGAAAGTTGATAAATCGCTTACGGCTTCAAGATGAATTGCTTTCGTCGCAATGCTTACAAAGACAGCAATATACCCTTTGTATGATTTTTGTCCACTACCTTTTGAGCAGCGTATTTGAAACGGCTTTGCATAATCCACTCCGACATTATCAAATGGACGGCTGGGTATAACTCGACATGGTGGTAAATTTCCCATTAGTTCTGTCATAACTTCTTGGTTATATCTAGCACAACGTACACACTTTCTCATAAACTGTTTTAATTGACTCCTTGTGCGATTGATCCAGTACTCATTTCTGATGTGTGTTCTCATTAAATTAATGCCACCATGTAATGTTGTTTTGTGTGCTTCCTRGATGATTAACTTTGCTAAATCACAATTTGTCAGTATGATTGGATGTTTAGTGTTATAAGAGATTTCAGCATTTTGCAGCCTTCCTCGTACTCTTAAAATGCCATCTTCATCTACAAAAGGATATAATGTTGATAATTTGTTTTCGTTTCGTAAGTGTCGTATTTCATCACAAAAACCTAAATCTTGTTGTATTTTAATTCCATTCTTCTTTGCCAATTGCAGCTTGTCTACTGTTAAATAATCTGTTGTTATCGTTTTTCTTCGAAGTTTGTTTGTGAATCACATCACATTCGTTTTCCAATGTCTGAAAATTTTTGTAATATTGAGGAAAAGCTTTTCTCCTCCGTTATTGTGGTTGTAGTAACTATTTTTTCTTCTACTCTTTTCGGCCAGTAATCTGTATTTAATTGAAGCCATAATGGTCCACGCTACCATAAACTGTGTTGTAGTAATCTTTCAGGTGATGTCCCTCTTGATGCAATATCTGCTGGATTTTCACTTGATTTTACGTACATCCATTCAGCTTCCGGATTCATCACATTGATATCGTTTACCCTAATGCGTACAAACTTCTCTTTGTTGTTTTTGTTTTGAATCCATGCCAATGTAATCATCGGATCACTTCATGCATAAATTGTACACCGTAAAGTCAATGTCTTTTTGACTCTTTTTAATATATTAACCAATAGATGTGCACCGCAAAGTTCCAATTTGGGTATTGTTTTCCTATTTYTAATAGGGTTTACTTTGCTTTTGGCAAGCAACAGTGTTACTTGCTGCCCCACTTTTGCATAAATTAGTGCTGCATATTCTTTGTCAGATGCGTCTCCAAACGCATGCAATTTCAAACTAGTGTTATTATTTGTACTGATCCAGCGTGGAATAGTTATTTTATCTAATATATCTATTTGTTTAGCGAATTAGCCATCTTTCTTCTAACTCTTTGTTTAACGGCTCGTCACAAGATCCACCTGTTGACCAAAGTTTTTGCTTGAAACATCTACCAACAATTGTTACTGGTGCAAGCCAACCTAGTGGATCAAATATTTTTGCCAATTGTGATAGTATTGTTCGTTTTCTAATTTTTTCCATCTGTTGAACTGTTGCTTTAAACTAAAATAGGTCACGTTTTGGGTCCCATCCCCCCCAATGTCTTCACTGAATCCGTTTCTTCGATTTGAATAATTTCATTATCTTCCCGTGTAAGATCATCAATTATTTCAGGACTACTTGATAACCATTTTCTTAAGTGAAATCCTGCACTCTGTAAAGCTTGTATCAATTTCTCTCGTAATTCTTTACATTCCTGAATAATATGACCGCCTGTCATGAGATCGTCCATATAAAAATCGTTATTAATAACGTCATGCATGATTTTATTGTCTTTGCAATAAATGTTACCAATCTCTTGTAACGTTCTCACTGCTAAAAATGGTGCTGCTGCTGTACCATATGTAACTGTTGTAAGTTTATACTCTTTTATTTTCTCCTGTGGATTATCTCTCCATAGAATATACTGGTATTCCTGATCTTCCTCTCTAACTTTTATTTGCCGATACATCTTTTCGACATCAGCATTCATTACATAACGCCACATACGCCACTTTACAATTAGGCTGTTCACGGTAAGGTGGTTATCGGGTTATGTGGTTATTAGATTAAAAATAACCTCTATGATCCGTGAACATCCCATATTATATGGTTATATGCTTATTTTCACACAAACAGCTGTTTATTGTTAACATTTTAAGTTCAATGAAATTTCTACTTATAAAATGCCTAAACAAAGTTTAAAAAGCAACATAATTGAATTTAAAATAAGTTCTGCTATTTAGGAAATGCACTTTATTGAAGGTATGTGCTTATTAAATAATCCGAATTTTAAGAGTTTAAAAGATTCTTTGTATAAAATTTGCAGACATCTTGCGGCCTGAACAGTGTCACAATGCAATTGTAAACAAAAAACAGCTGTTAATAGCAGAATTTCCAAATGCCATTGGCTTAGATTTATTTATTTTTTGTGTTGCCATTTAGTAAAATAATGATTTAGTAAAATAATGGAAATAAGCAAACAACCACATAATCTGTAAACAAGGGTCTGGGTTGGTCAATACACATACGAACGCCAAAACCTTTGAGGGTTTTACTATACTGACCTAGTACCATCACCCTGACTTGGAATTTCTCACCCCCCAGAGAATAATCCCAAAAATGTTCTACAGTGTTATACGAGTAATTGACGGTGCTCTGATTTTAACAACCCTTGATATGTCACAATTTTAAGTAAGAATTGCGCAAAGTATTCTAATACGGTTAACTATAAAAAGTTTAATCGAAGTCATACGGTGTTATCATTTTTATATTTTCAATTTAAATTATATACCAGTATATAATATAAATAGTGATTTAAAACAAGGTTGGCAGAGAAAAACACGGCTGTTTGATGAAATGGCGTTTATTTTAGAAGGTATGTATGAATATTTTATGCAATCTAATGTGTGGAATACAATGCTCGCGACAGACTGCAAGCGACATCTGTCAAATTTTAAAATACACACATTCTTATCGACGGACCTATTTTGACAGCTGCACGACTCCACGACTGCAGGCCGACAGTTGTTGTTCTCGCTAACTTCAATTTTATCCTATATTTGCCAACGACAGTAGAGTTAACAGTAGAATGGAAGATAGAGAGATGAGGTAGAGTGGTGACTAATATGTAAAATGTAAAGTTACTCAAAGCTTTAACAAAACTGACGTTATTTTACAAATAAAAGCATAAAATAGCTCTGTTACATCAYTTATAATAACAATTGATAATTTAAAACCAATAAATTTACCTATTTACTTATTTTTTGCTTAAAA